TGTATTTACAATAGTATACAAAGTATATCATACAAAGAATATTAAATGAACATTTATAAACATTTTTAAAAACGTACATTTTGGAATTATGACTGTATTTGAAAAGATACATTGTTAAAAGATACATAAAGGTGTTTCATTTTAATGACCGTAAACAAGAATATCTCGTAGATAAAGGAAATAGTAAGAGCAAGTTTGAAATAAAAGTCCTAGAATTGAAGAAGAATAAAGGTGACAAAATAACGTCTTTTTTACAATTTTTTAAAATTGGATAATTACAGTAGTGCAGGCATTAGCATTATCCAAAGTGTCCGATTAACGGTTAAAACGCCACCCAAGGTCAAACCAATGGTACCATTTTATGTCCCCCTTAGAATCACAAAACTTTTGTCTGAAATATTTTTCTCTAAAACTCGGCGATTACAAATATTTGACTGTCAAATATAAAATAAGACACTCCGTATATTAAAATAATTCTCTTTTCTTATGAATTTGTATGAATGGGTGTCTGTATAATGGATTTCCAATCCGGAATAGAGATATAACAAAAAAAAATACTAAACATATCTACTAAATATATCTAGACATACAATAAAGTATATTAATGGAAGAGCTGAAATCAGGAGACGCGGTAGCGGCTCTCGTCAAGTATATTTTTTGTAATACATAATATAATAATACTATGTCATGAAAGAGCGTATCCTTTACAAGAATGAACTCGCTTATATAATCAAAAATTACTGTTTTGTTTAAACAAATTGATGTTATTAAAAAATGCATATATTGGGGAAGAATATAGATTTTTACAATTAAAATTGGATAATATTCATGTCCATAAGTGTACTTGATGCTTAGATATGAATATGTGCACGTATTTTTCACCAATTTATGTCATTTATTCATTCAGATTCGTCGTCGTCGTCGTCGTCGTCGTCGTCGTCGTCGTCGTCGTCGTCGTCGTCGTCGTCGCAAAATTTTGTCCCCTTTTACTACACCTTTTTTCAGCACTTTCTGCACTTTTTCTGAATCTTTTCTACACCTTTTCTGCACTTTTTTTGCACTTTTTTTCTGCACATTTTCTGCACTTTTTCTACACTTTTTCGACACCTTTTCTACACACGTTCTACATCTTTTTTGAACTTTTACTGCACCTCTCCTGCACTTTTTCCGCATCTCGCATCCTTCTGGCATCTCTTCCACATCTTTCATGTATCTTTTCTGCACTTTTTCTACAACAATACATCTTTCTCACACCTCTCCCGTATTAATTTCGCATTTCTTCTGCACCTCTCTGCATCTAAGTCTTTTCCGCAACTCTTTTGCACTTTTTCCGCATCTTTTCCGTATCACTTCTACATTTCTTTTACATCTCTTCCGCATTTGTTCTGCACTTCTTCGTATCGTTTCTGCATACCTTTCCCAATTCTACATTTCATCTGTTTGTATACATTATTTTATTTATTTACACATTTACTTATATATCTATATTATCTATTCACCTATCGATGTTATCTATCCATCTTCCAATGTTTCACCTATTCACCTATTTACGTTTTTATTTGGCTATTTATGATATTTATCACCTGTCTACGTTCGAATGAGAGCATGAATGAGTAAATTGATTTAGACTGATTAATATGAAGAGATCAGACAGAACGAAATTATAAGCTGATAGTTTTTAATTAAACTAGAAAATGATAATGAAATAACCATTTATTTCAAACAATATTCATTCATTTATAATTTAATGTTTAACAAAAGGGGATTGTACGAAACCGAAATTATATACTGGTATTTGTTAACTAAGCTAGACAATGATAATCAACCGGAAGACATTAAAAATGTAAAAAAAGGCATCAAATATATTTTGCAATATCTTTACATAATCCAACAATTTTGTAAATATATGAAAATGATAACGAAAATAATACTTAGCAAAATTTCGTGAAATCTGTCGGAAAAGACATTAAAAATGTAAAAAAAAGGCGTCAAGTATATTTTGCAGAAAAAAGATACCAAAAATAATGCCATAAAATAAGAAGTGAAATCAAAATAATATTTCAAGTATCTCTATTTGAAAAGACCCGTAGAACACAGTTCTCTGAACGGCATCTTGAAGGCTTTCTTATGATGTAGACGTTTTTTCGATATCCTTTAAGACAGTGTTGTATGGAATAATTTCTCACAATTATAATATACATACTACACAAAGTACAGATGACATTTGAAGTATATTAAGTATAACAACACATTAATGAGAGAACGAAATGCAATAGATAGCGTAATGAGAGGCGCGAAAACTGAAAAGGGATTTTTACATCGATAACAAGTAGAAAATTGTAGAAATAAAAAATCGGAAATGAGCAAGAGCTCCAGCAGCAGCATACTTGACGCGCCCGTCTTGTTTATAATCGTAATTTAATATAAAAATTGCTAAGACAGTCGTTCGCATCCTGACTTGTCAATAGTATATAGATATCAATGACAATTAAAATTAAATACGATTTAATAAAATTTTAAATATTTTAATAAAATTAATGTTATAGTATAATTCATTCTAGTTAGGAAAGGATATTAGCACAGATAATGTAATTTCGAAATATATTACAAGAAATACATAAGAATCCCAATTTCACGTATAACTCGCTTTTAAATCTATTTGATAATAAAGTCCCTAATCCGCAAATGAGTCGTGCATTGTTTCTAAAAAGTTTTATTAAGTAAGAAATATAATATTTAGATTTCTATTTTCATGAGAATCAAGTATAATTAAAAACAATAATATTATGTCGAGCAATAACTGCTCTCTAATATTACTGTAATAAATTTAAAATACTACGATAAAAAAATTTAAGAGTTAAGAATTTAGTATTAAGAAGTATTAAAAATTTTTCTTTATCTCATAGAAAAATATTTGTATGTGCACTTGTTAAATATGAAATATATCAATACTATAATAACAATTT